TTCTTGACAACTCAAATAGCTTTTTCTGAGTCTTTTAATTTTTATTTGGTATCCGGCTTTTTTTTGGTAATTTCGTGGCATCTGGAACATATTTGAGCTAGTATAAATACGTTTGTAAAGGTACCGGTCCGATGGCAGAGAAACATACAAAGAAACTTTCACAAATGAGTTTTATCTTAATTTATCGTTATTTTCAGCGTATCGCATTCAACTGCTGGACAAACATCATAAAAGAAAAGACAATTATTCGATTTTTCAGGGGTAATTACGATCAATCGGGATTACTCAACTTGAATCTTCCGTCATAACCAAACAGACACAGTAACCCGGAACCATACTTTTTTTTTAAGTTAGCATCACGAAAAAAAACGGAGAGCTAACATTGAGTGCGTTGTTGCTTCACTACTCGTTGTTCCGCACTCCGTTCGGAATCGAATCACAATTGCATCACTGGGAATATCTTCTATCCTTTCTAACATAGCCAAACCAACGCATTCGCTATTACCCCTCGTCCGTAATTCCTCCACTCTTTTCTACGTTAATAAGAATTAAATTGGTTCAATGTACACTCAAGAAGCAGAGCTACGTTATGATTAAATGTTTTACGGACGGGATGTGTTGGAAATTCAGGATTATGATCAGGGAATATTAATTCAATATAGACTGAATTTATTTTGTAGTTTAAAATACTTATGGATTCTTTATTAAACGATAGCGGATTGTGCTGAGAAGTTCATCTGTATTCTTCAGATACTTTTCTAAGACTAACTAAAAATGTTCTTAAACATTACTCTACAGTAAAAACAACCAATCCTCTCTTCTTCGTTCATATTTACAGATGTCTGCAGTATGTAGCATAATATTAAATAAAATCAAAGGGTCCTTTGACTGACCCAAGTACTTAAGATTATATAATAAAAAGAGTAATAAAATGAAGAGGAATAGTTTGGAGTCCTTACAGATGTGTATTAAAAATACACGTGTTTATATTTCCTAAACTTAAAACTAAGTTGTTAAATAAATAAAGAATGAATTGAGATTCATTTTTGTTCAGAGAATCCAACAGGATGTTTGTTTCAACGAAGCAAAGATACTGACTATGTAACATGGATAGAAACGAATTTTATTTTAAGAAAATTTCGGAAAAGATCTAGGAAATACCAAAATAAAAACCAGTAAAACTGTTATAATTAATCTCAAAAATTTCAATGTTTTCTGGAATAATCTAAATTTATTAATTTGTTTACCCTATTAGATACATGCTCTACACACCGTATGTTTGATAGCCGAATAATTATTCAATGCCTAAGATAGAAATATACAATATTTATGTTAAAAAGTGAATTTTTGTGTATTTTTTATACCATTTAACATACAATGTATTTAAACTCAATCTACGTCAGGTTTAGCTGGTAATGAAAAATTAAAATTATAAATTAGTGATTGTTGTATGTGATGTAACTGATGTCTGATCGCTTTTTCATATGTAGATAAGATGATTTGCGCAATTATGTAAGTTTTGTATTTTTTTTATTCCGTGAATTTAAAAGAAAGTTGGGTCATAAAGTATGTACTTTGTCAAAAAAATTGCATAAAAATAATAATTTTACTCTTATTTTATGAGAAATTTTTTGATTAAATTTATTCTTATCTGAAAAAAATATAGAAAATGATCAAGTGGACTGATAGAATTGTGTAAAAAAAATAATGTAGAATAGTGAATAGTTTAAATTTATAAGCATTACGTATGTTGTGTTGAAGAATTTCTATAAAAAGAAGTAAAGAACACATTTTAATTCTAAAGAATACCGTTTCGGTTTGACTGTTACATGTACTATGATATATTTTCTTGAGTTATTCATAAGCACATGTATGATTAAAATTTTATTTGTTTTTAATACCAACAAATTTGGAAATTTTTCGAGAAAATGTTAAATTTTTTGCTGCTTCAATTTTGTTACAGATCGAAAGTTAGTGTGGTAATGGTTCCCACAGACGTGGTTACCATAGACGCAGATACCGCGGCAATTGTTACTATAGCTACTATTAACTTAGGGTTGGTATCTGTAATCACTGATAAATTATTGATGATTGGTAAAAAAAATATTTTGGATAGGATGTAGTTGGAATTTTTTCCTCGTGGGTTATTATGTCGGGTAACGTATAACTACGTTAGATATCAAGTCAATTGGAAGGATAGTCTTCAAGATCTTATACTCAGAGAGTGAGTAAGTGGTAAATCACTTACATGTATATATAGGTGAATGAATAGCTATCGTTAGCATACAAAACAGTACAAACGAATCAAATATGAGAATAAAAAACAGGACCTACTAGACAATTTACCAGACCATAATTGTCACCTAATTGACATTGTTGACAAAATTTCGACCTTGGATATGCGTAGCTGGTCAGGATAGAAATGAGTGTGCCAGAACAGAGCAATGAGAGAGTTAGGATTATAAAAAATATAATAATCTTCATTTTTCAGCACTATCTTTCAACAATATATACATTGCACAAATTGTAGTCACTAAAAAATGTATGAATGTCACTTCAGCTGAATGAACGTCAATTGAAATCGTTGAATTTTTTTACTTGAATGTCTAAAATTAACTCAACATGATATGCTTGATATCATTAAAGCAACTAAGATTTTTTTTTTCTTAAAAGAGTGGATATTTTATTGTGTTGGACAATTTCGTCTTTCAGATAAAAAAAAACTTATGAACTTTATTTTCAATACTTATGCCCTTGCTGTCAGAATAACGTTACCAACTTCTAATCAGAGTACCTGGTGAATTTTCATATTTTTTCTCGAAAAGTATTGAACTATTTTTTTCTTTCATTTCCAGGCAATTGTTATTGAAAATGTTTGATAAACAATCGTAACGAAGACAAGATTGAAAGTATTTTTTGTTTGTTTAAATAATCTTATATATAATGAAGAAAATTTCATTTAAAAATGTATGGTTCTCTGTTTTATCTAGAGTAGCGGTAGATACTCGGCGCCACATTACCTGCACATTCTGCTCATTATCCATCTATTGCCCCTCGTCAAATTAGCGCGCTCTCGCGGCTCATATTTACTGTGCCGAGTAACACGTTACTTGAAAAGTTCGCGCGTGACGTCACGACGCAATGTTTCATTGCAAATATCTCGATAACTAATTAACATTACGGAATAATTTTCAATATACAATTAATAATGACTGTAAGCTTTCATTTAAATCTAAAATGAGATTTATTCATTGAGTATTTATCAAAATACAGATTAGGCCACGCCCCTAATTCCGTTTTTCGCACATTTCAACTCGATTTCTAGCCTCTTCTTTGTCATCCTTACCTAAATGCCATCTAACGCGGACCTCTCTCTCGTGGCCAGAATTTTTCCACGATATATATAGGTATACTCCCAATGTATAAATATAGCGAATGAATGGTTTATGTATTTCTTACGTTGATATTGATAAAAAATACAAATATTATTATCTATTTAAGGATTATCTTAAAATATAAATGATGTAAAACGAAAAATTATTTAATTTCTGGATATGGATAGTAATGTTTATTTATAACTGACTGAAAAAGATAAAGAAAATGACAACTGAATTTATTATAAATGATCAAAAACGGAATCTATGCAATTAATTTGAATTCTTTTAACGGGATTTTTTTCTTTGTTTAACTGATAAAAAATATTACTCATGTGAATAAATGTAATCAAACATGTCATTAATTACGATAGTAATCGCTCTAAATGAGTATATATCAAATCTCACATTAAAATTCAAATTTTCACTGTTTCCATTTATACACATAAATTTATTACTTTTTCTTTCGCAATCATGCCACATCGATTATTTATAATGAATAGGAGATTCTATTAATTGTCTGAAAAATGAATGGTTTCCAATTTCCGTCCATCAATTCTTTCAATTCATTACTGTTCATATCAGTGTACATGGCGGAAAGTTTTACTTCCATCCAATGATGGCAGTTTTAGTAGGATACGTTAAATACTTGAAGAAAAATTCTGAATAAGATTGATGCTACAAAATGTTTTTTAATATTTTGATCAAACATTCGATCTACAATTTCTTACGTACACTTACGTAATTTTTTTATTAAACAATTGATAAAAACAATTTTATGTTGTTTTATTTAATATCGGATTTTCAAACAACAGTGACGTGGCGCCGTTTTTCACCGATATCAAACGACATCTGTTTTTGGCAGATTTTAATAACTTGTTCGATCGTTTGTAGCGGGAAGATTTTTTTCGAATTAATGAACGTTTGGAGTCTTACTTATCTCTAGTTTTTTATGCCTTGTCTGATAGTATTACTTTTTAATTCGTAAGGGCTCGTTTTCCTCATCATCTAAACATTTTTTTTTGTTAGAATAGAAACCTAGTTTAGTAGTAACGGTTATCGGTCAAATTACCAAAAAAACTTTTCTTCGCAACAGTTGCCATTAAACCATTTTTTTATTTATGTACAGTTTGTAAAGTAGATCTCATAAACCGATATTTCCTCGATTTTGAAAATCGAATTTGATGTACATTTTTCGTGCGATTTACTTATATTAGTTTTTTAAAACCTACTATACATCGAAATATGGTGTTTTGAATTTTCTGAAAGTCACAGTCTTACCTGTTGAAACTTCCGACAAAGGGACAATACAGACTTTTTTAATCGTGGAGAGTCGTACATACGATGCATTACTACTTCCAGGAAATCCATCGTCAAAAATTTTTTAGCATCATGGCATAATCAGCCCTTAAATATCAGTTTGGGTTAGTGGACTACAAGCCAAGCTCTACTCGAGTATAACGTCTTATTTATATTTCCTGACATTAATATCCAACATGAAAATTGATTCGATGTAAAATTTTACTTTCTCCTTGAATCGACCTTCTTTTTAGGTTACCTTGATAACAAATTTTTGACTTATGAAAATTTTCCTGGTACTAAATTTTTTCAAATTTTTAATTTTAGGAGCAGTATAATCAATTTGAAGGTGTCCGTACAGTAAATATAAACAAGGTATGTCTCAATAATTAACGTCAAATATTAGTAATATCAATATTTACATTATTTGTATATTATTTGTTATGAGTGACGTATTTCTTTTATGAATCCTATCTTGAGTCCGACACACAGTTAGCCAAATTCATAATTTTTGTAACTGTCAACGCCCATCTTTTCAAGGTCCAATTTTTTTAGTAGTTCCAAAGTGTACAATAATAGTTGTTTTTTTCTAGGAGAAAAATATGTTTAGGTGTACGAACAAACATCCAAATATGGATAGGTCCTTTGTAACTATTTTGATGTATATATGCATATGTTCGAACACATATATTCAATTATTTTTTTTTTTTGTATGGATGATCGATTTCATAGTTGAATTTATATTGTAATTGGTGACTTACTTTTCTTCTCAAGTATTCACAAATCGTTTGCGTAATTGTTTTGAGATCCAGGATTCACGTTGACGGTTTATCCTTCAGTATTCAGATATCTAGTTTACATTATGTGATGAGAGACGTGCGAAACTATGGCATAGTTCCAATATTGTAAAATATTTAGTTATCTAGATGCTATAAAAAAAGATTTTTTGCAGACAGATTGGAGTTACACCGTATGATATGAGAAAATTTTTATTTCGGTTAAAACGTATATTAAAACTACATTACAATCCACGTGTTATCCGAGCTACTAAATTTATATAATAGATATCATCTGAAAATATAACAGTGCTCCGTTGTGATCAGCTTTTTTTTTATTTAACAGTCATAACAAATTGAAAATAGTCATGTCAGAGTATATTAATTCATAGGTAGTTGTTTTTTGATTCCAAATAAATCAGGATATTTATTAAGGCGTCAGTAGGTAGAACATCATGAAAAAAAAAACTTATTATAAAAAATCTATCAATAAATACTTTATTTGGTTTTTCTATTATTTTTAGTTCCCATCTAGCATTCAATAATATTTTTAACTTAATTAACTTAATTCAATAATATTTTTACTTACCATCTAGTATTCAATAATATTCTTAACGAAAGCTCTCGAACTCATACTTTGGATGAGGTTATCTAGTTGTAATGGAATATATTGTACATGCACTAAGTTCTGGCATTGGTTTTTAAGGTCAGGTGTCTACTAAAGACGCACAATGAGCTACCGAAGTTAGAGATAGTGCACGTGAACATCATGGAAGAGTGTAAGCCGGAGTAAAAGCCGGTGTAATACAGATGCAGGAAGACTGGACACTGGGTGAGAGAAAGTAATTTGATATATTTATACTCAAACATGAATCTGAAGTATTAAGAGCATGCAAAGAGTTCGAGTCTGCTACAGAAAATTATACTGGAAGAAAAATGGAGGCACTGCAATCACTCACTTGAAAAGAATATTGCGATCGAGAGTTCAACGCATACCTGGTGAAAAAAAACAATAAGTAGACGATTAACCACGTCATGGACACCGCAACGAAATTGTGTAGCAGGAAGAAAAAATATAACGCTGACAGAGAAGAGAGACCAGTGGTCAGATAACTAAAAATACGTGCCAATAATTATCGTAAATGTAATATATAGAAACTCATAATGAGAAATGTATATTATTTTTGTTTATATGTAATGTTTATCAAAACATGTGACAATTTCTCTATAGACACGTTTGATGAAATTTGAGTCCTTTACCTATGAAAACATTTTCTTTACATAAAAAAATTTTTTTTTTTTAAGGTTTCATAATATTCACTTACAATTATATCTGTGATGTCTGAATGTATCTAAATTATTTCACATAATTATTTAAAATATATTTTAAGAGAAGCTGAAAATGGATAGCAATAAACCTTAAGGAGTGAGGTCAACGATTATCACTTAAGTTATTTTTTGAGTTTTCTTACGATTTCGTTAAAATAGAAAGGGTTTCGATGAATAGTTGAGAAAATCATCTTTTAGATATTTTATTGCTTTTGGAAAACCCACGTGGCGAAAAGCAATAAAATTTTAAAAAAAGAGTACGTGACGTAACAAGAGCATTGGCTTTCCAAAAAAGGAAAGACCATTCAAAGGGACTTGTGTGCGCATGAAGCAAGGAACTTCTACTTATGTCACATTCGACTAAATAAATACGTAAGGTTTGATGCATCAGTCAATTGTCGAAAAAGTAAGATCGAGATCAGATCGTCGTGGAACATCTTTTGAAATCATAAGTCTTGTTTTGTTTTGAGTATTGTATTGATAATATTTCAAAATTTGTAAATTTTTGTATGAAGTTTATTTGATCGTCAAATTATTTTTAAATTGATATTTAAATTCATTCGCAAGTAAAAGTGAATAATTACGCTGACTGGAGCATCGACTAAGGACCAATTAATTGTAATTCATCTCGACCGGAGTGAAAGAAATCATCTGTTGGTAACGTTTAAATTGTTGTTATAATTTTTCAATAATTTTCTTTCAATAAAATTTTGTTATTATCTTTATATAAATCACACATTTTTACATTCTCTATCGAAGATCCGCTCATCCCTGTCCATCTGTCGAAATTACATAACATATCGTTTTCGGAATATTGTCTACTGAAGCCAGATAAAAATTCACTAAGTGGATAATTAACAGACATAGCATGTGAAAACATGATACAATATTGGCCGTAAACTTGAAAATCTTCTTGTTGTAAACGCTTGACGGTGTTCCGAAAGTATTTGCAATATCTCTCAATCGTCTAAGGTGTTATGGAATAATTAGTGACAATCCATAGCTGTCGAAGTAGCAGCTGACTCCATCTCTATTAACCTACAGGGCAACCTAGTGTCACCCTGGTTACTTGTGTCTATCTGTATTAACAACAAAAGCCGTCGGTTTCGTTCACACCTTTGGAATTTTGTCGGCTGGATATACACCTATAGTATGATCCGGTATATGCTGTAAGACTTCTAAAATCTGCAGTGCATTCATAACATGCTCTGCAATTGTTAAAGCATTTCAGGGTCTTGCTGTCAGACGGTTAATCACTAGTTGACGAATTATTTTCCAAAACAGGTGATGTTGATAAATGGTTTTTTAACTGGATACTAATAAATATGAAAATTCTGGAGAAATTATCCAGTGACCAATACCGTTTGCCTCTGAAGCAATTGAAGCAATTTCTTTTGGTAAAAAATCAGCGTCATTATTGAAGAATCCTCCAATATCAGCCACAAACTTCGTTTTAATCAAGAACTGTTTATGACGTCTGACAAGTGTCACAAAAACAACACTTAGCTCGATACTGAGCTACATAATATACTTATCAAAAAAACTCCATAATAATTTAGCGCGATAAATTAATTTCAAGTATATTTTAAAACTCTGCATATATGACACAGTTTATAGTTAAAGCCAACGCGTAATCAAAACGTACCTCTAGACGCACACTATTGTATGTAATCAAATTCCAGTGTGAATTGCTATTTGCAGAAAGATCAGGTGTCAAATCAGACGCGAAAAAACAATAATCACTTCGGTAATCAGTACGACTAATACCGTTTCCTTCGTTTAGAAAATGTATTCCTGTTCCTGAGAATAACTCCTGAGAGAGTTTTTAGTAAAATCTGGTTGTAGAGGTGTTTTTATTGTAAGTAAATTGCGAGTAGTCCAGAATGTCTAATTAAAGCCAAGTAATGATAGCAGCTGAGTCACGCCGTAGAATGTGCTCAGGGGGGGAGAACTAACACGAAAGACACTTTTATCGAGCTTAATTATAATTTTAATAAAAAATGAACTCTATTCTAATGAATTTTTTATAAATAAATAAACCATTTATCACGTTAACAATGAATTATTAACACTAGTAAAGCTTAACAAAGCGTTTATGAACTTGGATAGAGCTTAGAATAATTATTTAATGAGAAAACAGAAGGAGCAGTAACAGAGCACGTGTACTTCAGCGTCGCGTCAGCGTTAATGGCTGCAACACGTTGAAGGCGGCATCAGTGAAACCCGGGCATGAGACAGCAAAGTGCTACGCTATATTTTTACACAGTGCATTATCAACGATTCATTAGTTATGTCAACTTTGCACTTAATGTCCGAGGCATTCATCAAACGAAAGGAATCACAAGATTTTGTTAGTCGTAAACGGGTTATAACACCGTTTTTTAAAAAACATTCCTTGATGGAATACATCGCATTGTAAATTTCCAAGAAAATCAAAAAGTTTACCATGTGATGAATATTGTTATCGTTTTTCCAAGCCTTTAATATCGCCTGTAAAACTAGCTATTTTTTTAGGTGTGTCTTGAGACCGCCCAACAGTAATTAGATGTGAATTTTTTGTTTCACGACTATAACTTATAAGTGTGTCACTATAAGCTTTATAAGCATATAAATTATTAGGTGGCGATACACATTTGTGGTTGAAATGAACGTGAGCTTGGTTAAACATAGAGTGCATGAAATTATTTATAGGCCCAACATCAATATCTGCAACATTTTTGGGATCACTTTTATCTACAGATGCATTGCGTAATGTAATTTCGATCATTAAATTTAACATCGTATGCACAAGATCTACGTATTTATATACACCTTGACCTCAAACAACAAATTTAATCGGAAAATTATCTGTCAACGACAAAATAGGCTTGTAAAAGACCAGTTGAGAATCTTCAGTTGTCGTTTGTATAGGCAATATAGGAAATAATTCTCGTTCTGCCTTTGCATACGCACAAGAATCATCATAAAGGAAATCCATTATTATGATTTAAATATATCTGCAACGTGTCGTGCTTCTCTTGCTTACTTTGTCTTCGTTTTTCACTCAATTTTGCAATCGCCACGCCATTATTAAGGACATCGTGTCCTATATTGACGCCTGATTTTAAGACTTCTTTACCAATAACTTTTGCTCTGTTTTCTGAAAAGAGAAGAACACTTCTAAAGATGCCTCTCAAAAAATTCCCAATACCATGACCACTCCGGTGAGGTGTTCCAATGTAAATTTGACTGATTCCGCTGTAACCACTTTGCCCGAAGCCAACCTTGGGC